AAGTCAAAACTAAAAATTATAGTTTTTTCTATGATTTTTAGTGGTTTATGTTATAAATCACAATAATGAAACCAAAATTCAGGAGTGATAATCAAGACAAGTGACATCCGTCAATTGAATTAATCAAAACATGAGTATTTAAGACTTTTTTTTAGAATACATTTCGAAATAGTTTTCTCCAAACTAGGATCAGGAACTAATCAGATTTACCAGGACTATAACCGAGACCAATGAAAAAAATTTATCGAGATCAAACTGAAATCAGTATTACAAAAACCTTGGACTCGTACATCTCTAATCTTAGCACATTATTTTATCGACAAAACACCACTGTATAAATTTCAAACGAAGAATGAAGAATTGAAGCATTACTATTTGACAAAACCAATTCCCTTGTGTATGTATACAACACACAACGTCAACCAAGAATCTCAAATGTCTTTTTGCTACATTTAAAATAAATTAATTTTTAAAAAGAATATATTTTCAGAACAATAATATATAACGCAAAAAAAGAACTATTACCCAGATCAAGAAATACGAGCCGTTTCTAGTGTGGACACTCAGGAAAATGGTAGGCAAATTCGAATGCTTTAAATAAAAGATCCCTCTGATTTCAACAGATGTCGTTGTCTATCATATAAACTTTTTCTTCTAAAAAACCTTAAAGACTTAAATTTCTTTTGGTATTTTACATCAAAAATTTATTTCAAATTGTTGAATAGATAATTCTTTTTATTTTTATTGAAACTTTATTATAAAGGTATACTTCGTATTATTCATTGGTTTAATCGTTTATTTATTTTATTCAAACATCAAAAACAAAAAAACTAATCATTTTATTTTGTATGTTTATTTCAAATTTGTAACAATGACAACAACAACATCAAGTGGAAGACCTGGATGTTTTCGTGCTTATTCAGGTGAACAAAAAACTTTACGTGCTAAACTTGATCAATTACTTAAATGGACACGTGATTTAAAAAGTAATATTATGAAACAATCATGTAAAGCATTACAAGCAAATAATAATAAGAATAATATTATTAATCGTCAAACAATTGATCAAATTCATGATGATTTAGATGATTATAAACGAAAATTTGATCGTGAACTTGGTCGTATACATGATATCTGTGATGCATTAGCAAATAATTCAACAATAAATAATAATACAGAAAATCTTCATGATGAAATTCTTGAAGCATTACGTCGTTCACCAACATATTCATCACTTGAACAACATATTGATGATGACAAACGACCACGAATTCGTGTAAAACCACGTGAAAGAATTCATCCAGGAAAAAAGCAAGGACCACGTACACCAGCTCTATCAACTGATACAATAAAACGTAAAGCATCACAACCAATAGCTTTGCAATTATTAAATACTTCAATTATGCCTGGTACTAAACGACGACCACAAATTGATGCATTTAAACGTTCAAGATCATTTACAAATATTGAACATACTGAAACACAATTAGGTATGGATTATGTTGAAGAAGATGAAAGTGATCTTTCATGGAAACCATTTGGACCAAAACGAACAATTTCACAAGTTAGTTTAATATCAACTAATAATGACCAATCCAATGATGAACAACCATCTACAAAGTAAAATTTTATTTTATTTTATTTTTTTTCCAAATCAAAACTAATAAATCAAATTTTTAGTTCAATTACAATAAATCAATCAGTAGAAGGAACATCTACAGAAAAATCTAAGCCATCTGTATCTTTTGATGATAATAATAATAATTCATCAGATGAAGAATTTGATATTGCATGGGAACGTCGTGCAAAACAAAAAGCTCTAAAAGAACCACCTGCAGCACCAACATCATCCATTGTATCACCAGCAAAACGTACTGTTCGCTTTTCACCTTCTACATACGAACCAGTTGAACTTATTGAAATTGATCTTGATGAAACAACACAAGATGGTTTACAACAAACAAAAGATCAAAATAATAATAATAATAATAATGAAAAACAACAAACTGAAATTGTTAATTTAGATGATGATGATGATGATAATGAAACAACAATGCCAACAATAGATACACAAAGCCAATTAGCCACAGTAAGAAATATGCGCTTCGATTCATTAAAGTACATTTGTATATCGCTCTCACCAGAGAACGTTTGCAACTAATCAATCACTTTCTCATCAAAAGCTAATCAATTATAGGTTATCTCGCATGGTGGTTTTCTAGACTAACAAATATGTTGCTAAAATCGTTTTAGATCTACTTAGATTATAGAGTGTATTCAGTTGTCTATGAGTTAATAATCTTGTCTGCTTTTCTAAAAATGATTTTTAAGTAAAATAATATCAGATTGAAATGTCGATGTGAGTCTGTTGTATATGAATTAAAAGAGCTCTATTTTCGAGACAAATTGATATGCTGTGTAATTTGTTTGGAGAGATCAAAAAAATCAATTTACCGAAAAGTCTATTCGTCTGGAAAACTAGCATATAAAGGCCTAAGGACATTGAATCAGCATAGTTCATAACCTTCAATTTACTAGTTTTCGATGAGAAAATGTTCCCTCGTCAGATAATTTTCAGTTGTTAACTAAGAAAATAAAAAGTTGTTAGTGCAATCCTTGCAGGAATAAAATGTGCAAGAGGATATAGCTGTTGTTGCTTATCACAAAGATTATTTTATTCAATCTATTTTGGGATACATTTCTTCACTATACTTTTATTTTATCCTGTAGAAATGCAATAAGTAGTCAATATATATTATAACGAAATGTTATTCATATATGATCTGTGATGTTTTCATGGTAATATCTGCGTGGGGTGCTAATCTCCACCATACACACTTCAACACTCCTTTTAGATCGTATTTTACAAAAGAAGAAACCAAAAGGCAGAGATATTTTAATAGTTTATTACAGTATTTTTGATAACACACCTTGTACAACTTAAACTATTATCTATTTAATTGCTTTTGTTTTAAATAATATTAGAATAGAAGCAGCCATTGATTATATAGATTCTAATGAGTTATTATGATCAAACTTAACGCAAAAGTTTTTCGTTCAGTTTTAAATTTACATGTTTTTGTTTGATAGATAAAAAATAAATTCTTTGTCCTATCGTTGAGAAATTATGAATGTTTCCGAAAAGTATAAAAATCGTGTCGATGATTTCAAGTCGTACAAGAATCAAACAACATTGAGATAATCCTCTACAATTGTATTACATGGGTTTTTATAAATATGTATACTGAAGAAAACAAAACACTTTTTCTAAAACAGTCTATCATGTATCGCTAAGTATGATAAATGAATATAATATTCGAACATGAAAATCCACACTCATCCTATTATAGTCGAGAAAACTATTTCGAGTAATATTTCACATTGGCGTTTCAGTGAAATTTAACAATTAGATCTGTAATATTCGACTACTTCGAATATCGGAACGTAAATTGAACTTATAGAGTTTCGAGTTAGAATTATTTAAATGACAACTTAATTAATTGCGATTGAAAAATAGTGAACTTCAAGTCCGAAATCTCCGCTGTTTCATGCTTGATATATTTTATTTTTCTAGACTTCAACTGCATCATCATCATCTCAACAAGCAAATAATCAAGATGATAATAGTCAAATAATTGATGATAGTGATGATGAAATAATTTCCTTAAGTGATGATGAAATTCCTATAAGACCGAAAACTTCATCGAAACAATGTCTTTGGACTTCATCTGAAATTCAAATAACAAGTGGAAATTCTCAATCACAATCATTACATAATCCATATCGTGTTGGTATTGCTGATCCAAGTTTACGATCAATATTTTTACCACCACCAAATTCTCAAACAATGTCAACATCAAATAGTGGAAATAGGCGAGCTCAAGGTAGTAATCGAAAAACTTCACCAACAAAACGAACAACTAATTCCAAATAATAATAATAATAATAATTATTATTTTTTTGTTCAGATATTTTAAAAATTTTCTTTCTTCTTTTTTTTTATAACAGAGATAATTTTCTCAGGTTAATTAACTTTTTGCTTTTTTTTTCTTGTTTTGTTTTTGATAAATACAATAGTTTACGAGTTAGTTTGTAGTATAAAAATAAATAATAATAATTTATTATGAATTATTGAATTTTATGATGTACTTAAAATTGAATAATATCATATTTTAGTCTTTCTTGCTAACATTCTGTTTTATATATAAATAAAGAATACAATAGATGTTTATTTCTGTTGTTTAAATCTTGTTGTATGAAACAGATATTAGTCCACTCGAGATAAACACTGTGTTTAAGTCCTCAGACGATTCCTATGTTCTATAATTATAATCAATTTATTCGTTTCTTTTTTGGACTAGTTTTATCCATTAAAATTTAAAAAAATATATTGCTGAGATGACGTTAATATTCATTGAAATATATTTAGAAAAACTGATCAATGAAATCTGTTGATTGTAATAGAGAGAACGAACAAATATATAAAAAAAAGTTGTTAGCGTAATTCATATGAGATCAAAATATGAAATATGATGTAACTGCTGTTGCGAATCACAAGGAAATTATTTTATTCTATCTATTTTTGAACATATTTCTTCACCATACTTCCACTTAATCCTTCAGAAATGCAATAAGTGGTTCGTATATTATAACGAGATGTTATTGATATACAGTTTGTGATCGTATATCAATAACGTCTGTCACAGTCTGTGGGAGAACAGGAGATGCAAATTTCTATTCTATAAACTTCAACACTCCTTTTATATCGTGTTTCACAAAAATCTCTATGTTTACAAATGATTAGTTTCAATGAAATGATTATTATTCATTCGTTTATCTTACCAGAAGTCAAACTAAGCAAATTCTACTAAACGAAAACTGAATATGACTTGAGAATATTTTGTTTTGTTTCAACTACTATTATGTATTATCGATAATGTTCATCATTAAGATTATCGAAGCATAAAATTAAACAAAATAATATCTGATATTGTTATCACTTTCAATTATCTGTTATCGAAAAAAAAAAGAATCTTTTTTTTTCTTGCTATAAATCATTGAGAATAATCTGATTATAGATAATTCATTATTGAAATGACATAGAATGATAAAAAGAAAAATTCTAATTTGATCTATTGTCGATACTGATGAGGCTTTTGAGTTCATATTCTTAATAGTTTGTTTCATGTAAAAAAAATGTCTAGTAAAAATACAAGTTTCAATAACATGACTTCATTCGACGATGATATTTATTTACTACCTCATGTAATAAAATTTTGGCTTTATCTTGTTATTCTTATTCCATCAATAATTTGTTCATTGTTTGTTCTTTATTATCTTCTTTTTGATCGAACTTTACGTCGTGCTCTTAATAATCATACAATTATTGTTCTTATTTTTGTTTGTCTTATTTGTCAACTGACTATTTATCCATGGATGCTCTATTTCTATAAAAATGATAATCATTGGTATAGAACACTTACTTTTTGTAGTATTTGGGGATTTATTGATTGGGGCCTCTACATAACTCAAGCAATACTCTTTGCTTGGGCTTCAATTGAAAGACATATTTTGATTTTTCATGATCGATGGGTTACAACAAGAAAGAAACGTTTTTATATTCATTATCTTCCTCTAATATTACTTATGCTTTATTGTTTACTATTTTATAGTATTGTCTATTTCATTCCATTTTGTAAAAACTTTGTTCATGATTATGTTTCACCATGTATTAGTGTTTGTTCATATGATAATCATGCATTTTTCCTATGGGAAACTGTAGTTCATCAAATATTACCAAATTTAACTATTATCATAGCTAGTATTACTTTATTGATACGTATTCTTAGACAAAAACATCGTATGCGTCAGCGAATTCAATGGCGAAAACATCGAAAAATGACAATTCAATTATTATCAATATCATTTCTTTATTTGATATTTTCATTTCCAAATACAATCATGATTCTTATGTATCTATGTGGTTTACCATATCATATAGGTTATAATGTTAAAATATATGCAGAATTCATTAGTTATTTAGTTACACTTTTTTTCCCTTTTGTTTGTATCGTTTCATTACCTGAACTTCGAAAAAAAATCAAAAGAATTTTACTATTACGTCCAACAGCAATATCTGTTTATCCTGAAACTTTTACTATAAAATATAATAGAAATACCAGACATATTGGTATATTAGACAATAAAGTTCAATAAAATAATTTTGTTTTGTAATGTATTGAAATAAAAATAAAATATTAATAATCATAAATTGGGAATATACTGCATGATTAAATAGAATGGAAGAAAACTATCTGTACGGGTTGTCCAAACATAACACTGTTACGTTTTTGACACTTTTTCCAATTATCTTGGAAGGTTTAAGAGCTATAAATTTCGTTCAAACACCATTCGGCACAGTTTATCACACTATTTATGCTATAAGAAGGACTTTGTTTTTTTGGCTGAAGTCTCGGGCTTCTAAAAAGATTTTGTCATTATGTAACACTGTTACATAATAAAAAACCCGTTTCTACAATGTGCTAATAAAACTCTAATTTCTTGCGAAAATATTTATCCAAATCAAAACACTTCTAGAGCCAGTTTTGTAGAGCATTGAACAAGCTTTTAAGTAGTAAAACCAATTTTCTCTAAACAGTTTTTGCTCAGATAAAAAATGCAAAAAACAAATCTAACTCTGTTACACAGTTTTTTGTCGACCAATTTTAAGGCACTTAACGTGCTCAGAAATATTTGATTTTCATAAATATTAGTCTCTTCTGTATATCTAATTATTCTACGCAAGAATCAAGCTGTTACATGAAAACGATAACTCATTAACTGTACAAGAATGTGCAACTTGTCCTTAGCGATGAAAGTCAAAAATAAACAGGCAAATTTGTAGAGAGAATAAAATTCTACATCGAATGATATGTCACTCAGCATTTTTTGAAAAGATTTCCTAGTTAGAAAATACAAAATACGATTTTTGAAAAGTTTAAAACACTGTTTTCGATGTCAAATTCCTATTTTTTTTTTGAAAGAATAAATGTCAAATTCATAATTAACGTGAACAAATGCATCTAATAATGCATTGAAATCTGTCTAACTCGAAAAAATTTTTCAAAAACTTGATCAGTGAAGTGTCGTACTACGTGGATAAGCCGTATTACCTTCTTAGTAATCTATATGAATTTAATTTTCGCTGAGAGTCGCCACGTCAGTATGGTTTTCTCTGTCTCGTTCTTCTCTGAGATAATCAATAAGACATGCCCTTATTTATTTGGAAAGTATAAAAAATAACTCATGACTAAATACATGTGATAGACATATAATCGGTGATTCAATGGTTCTTTTTTTATCATTGATAGTCACATAAGAATAGAAAAACAAAGAGAAAAGGACTATCTGAATGCGTATAGGGCTTAAGATTTTATACACATAGAAAGACATCATAATGAAAATACATATATATTTTTTTATTACACGAAAAGAACATAAAATACGTGATATGCACAACACCAAATATTATCTCAAAAATTTTATTTCTGATTTGTTTCTATAAAATATTTAATTAGCAATATTTGTAATAAGTTTGGCAAATGTCATTTGTTGGATATTCATATTTAGGTTTTTTTTATAATGGATTCCTTCAACTATTCTATATAATAACTCGATTATCTTATCTCCCAGAAGTACTATTTCCATCGTTGATTGATAGCATAACATGATAATATGATATTACAGCTTTTGAAATGTTTATCATAATACAAATACATTAACAAATGCATAGAAATGCTTTGGTATCATCTGTAGTCTATTATTCAATGTATAACAAAGAAGGATATTCAAAAGATCTATTTTAGTAGTTGTTATTCTTTTCTTATCATATATAATGAGTGGGTCGTAATGTATGGCCGCTTGTTTCGTATTTCGTCGTTTCATCCTTCAATATGTTATATTAGAAAAGAAAATATATCACAAGATACAGTGAAAAAAAAAAGCTCTACTATTTACAAAGAAAAGCTTATTTTAGTTTAAAAGTAGATGAAATTCTATTCAATCAATTTTCGACATAGCGAACAAAATCATTTTAATCTCATTGACTGAAGGAAATTTTATTTACTGATATAAAAAAAATACTTTTCATCAGAATGTGTTTATCCAGGAAATAGGCAGATTATAGTATGCTTAAGTACTTCAAAAACTATCCTTGCGTCTTCAATTATATTTGATTTTCGTGAAATATTATCAAATGTAAGAATCATATTGAATTTGCTAGTCGACAACCCTGATATGAAAATAAACGGCTGGGCAGACAACGATTTTATCTATCAACAAGATAACGCAATGCTGCATACACATCAAGAAACATAGGCATGGTACGAAGAGAATTTCCTGCAATATCATAGACGTTTTAGATTATACAGTATGAGACGCCATAACTCATAATATGTAATAGAAGAAAGTTAAAACCAATGATTCTTTAATCGATGAAATAACAATAGAAAATCGATTGAAATAAATTTCGTCTATTTTTAAAATAAAAGTTACCTATATAAAATAAGCTCTTTTCTTTGTAAACTGTAGAGGTTTTTTCATTGCATTATGTGGTGTATTTTGTTTTCTAATGAAACATATTAGGTGATGAAATACAAAAAAAGAAGCGACCATTTATTTTGACTTACTCGTTAGTTCACTATCAAACACTAAGTCATTATTATATGCGCATAAGCATTTCAAACAAACTTAAAAATGATGTGTTTGATTACGAAAAAGTTCGACATTTGATTTAAGTACAAAAGACGATGAGTTTTATTCTTCACTCTGCTGGTTTTTTGTTCTGTTCTTTATTTAAATTATTCATTTTCTTTTTCTATTTCTCTACCCAATTTAATTGTCAACTGTAGTAATATTGATGAAAGTTCAGTTACTAAATCAACAAAATCTTTATTCACAATAATACCACGTAAATCAATAATTTGAAGTTGGGATGTTGGATGTTTCATTAAAGGACGTACTATAGCATAACAACCACTTGATTCAAGTGGATTTCCATGCAATGTTATAATTTTTAATGTTTCATTTTTTGCTAAACCTTTTCCAATATATGTAGCACATTCAGTATTAAATTGATTATTATCTAAATAAAGTTTTTCTAAAGTAGAATTCTTTTTTAATAATTCAAAAATAGCTTTTGCAGCCAATAGACTAGCTCCATTCCATGATAAATCAAGTATTGTTAAACGTGCATTTGATACAAGTGGTTTTATAAAATAACCACATGCTTTTGCACGTAAACGATTCCAACCAAAATGAAATTCTTCAATAGTTTGATTTTCAGCTAATGATTGTCCAAAAAGACGACCTGATGTTTCATTTTCAAAGAAATTTTTGTTTAAATTTATATAAATAATATATTCATTTTGTGATAATACTTCAGCAAAATATGGTGTACAATCATCATTAAAACGATTACCTTCAAGATGTAGCATACGTATTGTTCGATTTGAACGAAGTACTCGACTTAGAGCTTTACAACCTAGTTTAAAAAAAAAAAATTAGACATATTTTTATTATTTAATGATTAATTAATTGTCTGTAAACTGATTTTTATATTTCAAACTATAAGATGCGTAAAGAAAGCTTTTCTTAACGAATAATAAAACTAGTCTTCGGATCTCATCGGACAGTTACTTGCTCAATAATATTCACGA